TTACATGGGTTGGATATTGACTGTTTTTTTTAACTACAATCAATATGGGATACTGGGTCTTTTCTCGTTACCCTCACTAACTTCCAAATGATATACCCTAAATACAGCAGAGTATGACAATGAAGATTGGACATTTTGGATTGAACATTTCAAATACCATTTGGCTTTGTTTTCTGTAACACTAATCACTAAACACTAATTATTCAGATTTTTCTGTAGGCTTCAGATGCTCCACAAAAACTCAGAGACAAACAAATCATGGATGTTCAGATCAGATCTGCGTTTGTTAATGGCTCAGATTTTTTCTTTCTTTTCTCCAACCGCGACGGTGGCTGTGAGAAGCAGTGAGTGTGAAAAATCAATGGCAAGGCTTTGTGCCAGATCCCGGGGCCATGCAGGTCCCAGAGGACCGGCTCCGTTTATTGTGCTCAAAAAAAGGCAATTACAATGTTAATGTGTCGCAGCAGGAGAGTAGACCCGGGAAGGAGGACATGAAAGGTTGATGGAGAGAGCAGAGTCACTGTGGGTTAACAGCAAAACGGCGTCTGGGGAGTGCTTCAAAGGTACAATAAACTCACCTCACACTACATATCTACAATTTAGATAGATAGATAGATAGATAGATAGATAGATAGATAGATAGATAGATAGATAGATAGATAGATAGATAGATAGATAGATAGATAGATAGATAGATAGATAGATAGATAGATAGATAGATAGATAGATAGATAGATAGATAGATAGATAGATAGATAGATAGATAGATAGATAGATAGATAGATAGATAGATAGATAGATAGATAGATAGATAGATAGATAGATAGATAGATAGATAGATAGATAGATAGATAGATAGATAGATAGATAGATAGATAGATAGATAGATAGATAGATAGATAGATAGATAGATAGATAGATAGATAGATAGATAGATAGATAGATAGATAGATAGATAGATAGATAGATAGATAGATAGATAGATAGATAGATAGATAGATAGATAGATAGATAGATAGATAGATAGATAGATAGATAGATAGATAGATAGATAGATAGATAGATAGATAGATAGATAGATAGATAGATAGATAGATAGATAGATAGATAGATAGATAGATAGATAGATAGATAGATAGATAGATAGATAGATAGATAGATAGATAGATAGATAGATAGATAGATAGATAGATAGATAGATAGATAGATAGATAGATAGATAGATAGATAGATAGATAGATAGATAGATAGATAGATAGATAGATAGATAGATAGATAGATAGATAGATAGATAGATAGATAGATAGATAGATAGATAGATAGATAGATAGATAGATAGATAGATAGATAGATAGATAGATAGATAGATAGATAGATAGATAGATAGATAGATAGATAGATAGATAGATAGATAGATAGATAGATAGATAGATAGATAGATAGATAGATAGATAGATAGATAGATAGATAGATAGATAGATAGATAGATAGATAGATAGATAGATAGATAGATAGATAGATAGATAGATAGATAGATAGATAGATAGATAGATCTTCTCACATTATTTGTCATTGTTTCTTGGCAGACACAAGCCAAAATGCAGTACCAATTCGAGCTCCTTATTGAGGAAACCTCTTGGGAGCTCATAATAAGCCATTAAACAGGCGCATTAGGAGTAATGAAAAGGCTTTTAGTGGTTTACCACTGCGGGCCACCTGGATATTTCTCTATGTAGAAGTGGGCGGTGGCTGTGGTTATCTTATGGCTCCAGGGCTGCAGTGACGATACAAATAGAGAAAACATATGTCTGCATTAAAAACTGTTTTCTTTTTTAACAGTAGCAGAAGGAATGTGGTAGATAGGCATTTGTAGATTTATTGAAATAAAGCTGATGGTTTTTCTTTAAACGCCTCATCACAGAGTCAGTCAAGCTTTGATTTCTCATTCTTTAAGGGTGCGACAATAACTTACAATTTAGTCAAATTTCAATTAAAGTCAAACATCCATTACTATTTTTAGCTGTTTGTTTCTTGAAAACATAAAAATGTCATGCTTAAACCATTTAAATGATACTTGTTTTAGTTTTTCTCAAGAAGTTTCACTATAAATATAACATCATAATTTGCTGTTTTTTTTAGTGTTGGTTCAATCCAGTGCTATAAAGTTCCAACGAAATCATTTAATAAGTAAATTACAAAATTTTAAATAAGTTTCAGAAATTGTTTTTTTTTTAAAGGCTATTTTTACCAACCACCTCTAATCCTATCAAAACGTATCAAACTCTGTCCATGGTGCTGAAAATATGCCCTCCCTGAAACCGCTGCAATCGGTTCTGTTTAAACAGCTCCCACCGATCGTTGCCATCCGCGGATACTTCGCTGTACCTGTGATTGTGATGCAAATGTTAATGGACTCTGAGGTCCTCTGATTAGGCTTGATGTTGGCTAATTTCCCTCCTCTGCGCTCCCCAGAGAGCGAAGAGTGCCTTTTCAGCGACCCCCTCTAAATACAGGAGCGTTGATGGTATTTTCTGCTTCGATGAGCTGATGGATAGAAGCAGCTCACAAAAAGACAGACAGGTGATCATGGATTAAATGGTAGATAATGTCCTGCAGTTTCCCCACAAATCACTGCATCGATGTGTCTGCCCATTTTATTTTCTACGAAGATAATACTTTATTGTCTCGGCCATATCTAATCTTGCACAGACCCCTTAGTATCAGTAGTCTCTGAGATGTCTGGAGAAAAAAAAAGTAAAACGTGGAACAAATGGGATCAAAATCTAGTAAACAAAAAAAAGATGCTTCCTTTTTCTTTTTCTCTGGTCTGTGTTTTCAGGACAGATTTTAATGAAGAAAACGCTGCATAATAATAAAATAATTTTGTGAATTTTGAAAGAACAATTGGGTGAGAGGGGGGTGCTAAAGCTGGGTGGAGGATGGGGGCTGAGTTACACGAGGGCGGAGAACCTTGTGCCAGCTCGCTCATGTGTGTAATGCGAAAAGGGAGAGTCGGGAGGCTGAAATAGGCTATTGAGTGGAGGAAGAGGAGGAAGAAGCAGAGGGGTGAATATGCTATTGGAACTGGAGAAAATAGATATGATCACAATGTGTGTGTGCACATGATAACCTGGATTTATTTTTGTATCACCCTCGGACATGTGGGTCAAACACATAACCACCTTGACAGCAACGATAAGAAGCTATGATTGGTCATATCGACTTGGATGGATCCTCCCGGGACTTGGCACGCTGACCCAATGATGACAGTCGGCATGGGTGATGAACTGCAGCATGCATCACTCTCCAGTTTGCAGATTTAGGAGTTATACCAAACACCAAAATATGTGGGGCCTCTTAAAAATCTAAATTTTTCCGTTTACTTTAAATTGTTTTCATTGAAAATAAATTATCATTAATAATATTAATATTTTTCATGTGTTAGATTGGAGGGCTGGGAAGCTGCGCAGTCGCTGTGACCCGGGGGCCCGCGGTGTCAGAGCTGCTCTTTTCATCCTGAGGCGCACTCCATCAGACAGCTCAGAGCGCAGATCTGAGCAGGTCTGCAGCCCGCTGATAACAGCTCCGTCATTAACTCTTTCATTCAAAGCGGTAGCCATTTTCGTTCCCACGCAGCTGGAAAAAAAAATACACACAGAGACACGTTCAAACACAAAGGAAAGGACGGACAAAGCAGAGTGAGCGATTCTTTCGGCCTGTATTTGGAGGGGTTTACTGATGATGCACCGGCCTGATAATGCTTTGCTGGAACTGGGGTCCGTCAGAGGTGTCGATCGGCTGTTTTATGTTTACACCCTAAAAATATAAATTTGTCCGAAACACTATTTTATGTGTGAGGTTTTTCTATCTTTAAAACCAAGAAACATGCAGCAAAAAACGATTTTAGCGCTGCTCTCTGTTCTAACTGGGGAGCAACTTAAATAGCAACAGACAATATATCAAACCTAGAGATATGACATTTTTTTCTCAGTTATAAAATCAGCATGTTTGGAGCAGCCAGTTGTTTTGAGCAGGTTAGTGTATTTCATCACAGGCTGTGATGTCGCATGAGCCGGAAAGGCCGCATCTTTGTGTCCTGGTGAGACTCTGATGCTGCAGCCTGAAGGCACTCTGAGGACACGGATAACACAGAGTACTACTGACAAGGCATCCTCTAAGAAATTATGAAAAAAAAAATGTGGGTCTGTGTTACACAGTAGCATCATGAATACATGTTTTAATGAATGGAATGAAGAAAAGGATGCCATATACAACCCAGTAAGAAAACGGGTGTATTTATTTCTCTCTTTTTCCCAAAAAACAACAAAAAAAATCAGCCTGTTTGAAACGTAGATTTTTTTTTTTTTTTTAGAAAAAACGGCTATTTATTTTTTAAATAGATAAGATAAATACATTACCCAATCTCCAGGCTGAATGAAATGTCCCATATCTCATCTCGAGCTGCCTGTAAGTTAAAAACGACGAGGCTTTTTTATTTTCTTCACCGAACACATTTCTACACCTTAGAAATACATACAGAACGTTAATAAAATTAAGTTTCCATCTGGCAAACATATTATGCCTTTAAGGTGAAATTTGCACCATTTACTTTTTTTTCTTTCGCAAATATTTCACCAAGAACAAAAAAAATAAATCCCCGATCACCAATAAACCTAAAGCCATTCGTTCAACACGGTCCGGAATAATCCAAGTGAGGCTTCTTGCTCCTCTTCTCTAAAAAGAAAAACAAACAAAAAAACGGGTCAAATATTGCCATTTTAAAATTATAACCCTCTAGATTTTTTTAAAATAATTTCTGCAACAAGGAGTCGGGTTTCTTCACATTATCACCCCTCTTTATACCCGTAAAGTTGTGCAAGATTTAAGGCCCCCCGAATGCCATTGGATGTTAAGATGAAGTATAATAGATTCTGGGTTGGTGAAGGTGTGGTGGGGGTTCATCAAGCACCTCCCCTAGAAATGCAGCAAATCTCTCCCGTTTTCTCCTGGTGGGGCACTGGCAGGGCTGGAGACGTGCTTTGCATTGGCAGACGGATGAGGACACGTGTCTCGTCCCTGCCTCCTTCCCCGGGCTCCACGGTACCGCATTGGCATCAGAAGAGGCACCTAAACTCCTGGGGAAAGCTGCTTGCCACGCTATACTCCCCCCCAAAAGAAGGAACACGGTGCAAAGAGCCCGCAGGAACCTGTGGCATACTTTTTTTCTCTTCTTTCTTTTTTTTTTTGGTCGTGCGTAAAGCGTTTGCGCACAGCGCCTTGGAGACTGGGAAGGTGCGCTGACATTCGTCAAGCGGCAGAGCGCAGCGCCAGGATGCAGAAACGGAGCAACGAAGTCTGAAGGTGACATGAACCTGAGGATATCGAAGAGCATCAGCCGCACACTTAACAAGAAGTGGAGATAGCAACTGAAAACCGTCGTGTCTTGAAGCCAAAATTGCGCTTTTCCTTGTGGCTTTATCTCATGCTGAGAATAAGGAGCTGCAGAACACAGTAGCCTACAATTTTTTCTTTACCAACCTGGACAAGAGAAACACACTTCTAACTAATCAGTGGACGGTTTAGCTCTGACAAAGGAGGAAAAATGGCGACATTAATCAGAGGTAAAATATCCAATAAACTGTCCAACGCAGCCACGGCCGTGTCCAACAAATCCACAGCAAAGGTGAGCGGGATGTTCGCAAGAATGGGCTTCCAGGCCGCTACGGACGAGGAAGGTCTTGGCTTTGCTGCCTGCGACGACCTGGATTATGATCACCGCCAAGGTATGCAGATGGACATTCTGTCCTCGGACGAGACCGGAGGGGAAGGTGGCGGAGACGGCGGCGGGCAGGAGGGGGACAGCCACTACCAGAGAGACGGCACCGGTCCACCGCACTCTGCCTCCAAGGACGGGGGCTCGACGAATGAGTTATCCGAAGTCAAACCAAAAATCACCGCCTGGGAAGCAGGCTGGAACGTCACGAACGCAATCCAGGTAAAGGCTTTGCTCTAATTGACCAAACCTCCCTTACTGACTTACCTAAAACATTAAATCAAGCAATAAAAAGGAGAATTTTAATGCATTTAATATTTATAATTTCACAAAATTACTGATATATAATTGGGTTGCTAAATTATAATCAGATTGCTCATGCATGGGGAGCTGAAGGGGTGGAAGATAGATGATGTCCTAACATCTCTAACCCTCCCCTTCCTTCATCTCACACATTCTTTGTCTGCAGTAATGCCGACTGTCACTGAACCCTCCTAATAACAGCATTATTCTGCAGGCCAACAGTGAATACAAGGTTACAGCCTCTACTTTTATACAAACTCCAAATTGTCAGCAGTAAGAATAGGCATTTATTACATTTAAACTTCACAGAAAGAGAAATCGTTGCAAGGAAAAACTATTTCTTTTTTTTAATATAATTTTTTTGATCAGTAAAATTGCAAGAAAAGTCTCGATTAGACAAAGATGTGGAAAATAGACGAAACTGCGCACTGCTGTGGAGGGCTATGCGACAAAAATTCCTTCATCCACGCAGTTCCTGCTTATGCTTTGGTAATGGCCTGACGTAAGAGTGTGTCTCCTCCAGCCACTGATGACGTTAGAAGCGGGTGGATTTGCTTAAAGCCATGTGGAAAACCCACAACATGAAAAACATGACAGCTTCAGTGGAGTCATGCAGTCCAATCTCACATAAACGTGCTGCAAGAAAACAGGGACGGCCAAAGATTGGATGGGGACCCTAGAGATTGTTTAATTGGTCCAGAGAGGCTGGTTACCCACCATCAACCAAAGACCCATAATTATTGCTAATTGATTTACTTTAACAGTATTAAAAAAATGAATGTACCTTATATCACTGAATTCAGTTCTATTGGCCCTTATTTATTAAATGGAAGAAGTAAATAAATTGCCCACCTCCGAAAAACAAGCATCATAACAGGTCTTAGAAGGAATAAGACTTTCTAAGATTACTGCAAATATTTACACATGGATCTGTGAAAAAATTAAATGTATTAAATATTTTATTCAATATGTATTTAAACAATCTAAAGTAATTAAAACAGGCCCAAATTTAAATAAGTTCCCATTTAGTTATTTTATATGAAAACAATCTTGCTGCCAATCATTGTGCAGATTCTTAGATATGTGTTGTCTAATCCCCATTCTATCTTCAGATAATATAAGGTTTGCATATTTGCATGTAAAACCACTAGAATCATTCTTAAATGGTCAACATGACAAATCTAAGTATTTATTTGGCATTTAGGTATTTAATAACAATAACTTACAGACTAACTGAAAAAACTGGAAGAAAACTCTCTATATAAATTCTCCTATTAGACATTATGACTAACCCTAATAAAACTCCATAGATGTGCCTCTGAATATCCTGCACAACATTAATGCTTTTTCTTCTGTCTCTTCCTAGGGGATGTTTGTTCTGGGCTTGCCCTACGCCATCCTGCATGGAGGATACCTCGGACTTTTTCTCATTATTTTCGCCGCCGTGGTGTGCTGCTACACGGGGAAAATCCTCATCGCCTGCCTATACGAGGAGGACGAAGACGGGCAGCTGGTCCGTGTGAGGGACTCCTATGTTGACATTGCCAACGCCTGCTGTGCGCCCAGGTTCCCAACGCTGGGCGGTCACGTCGTGAATGTAGCTCAAATCATAGAGCTGGTTATGACTTGCATCCTGTACGTAGTGGTCAGCGGGAATCTCATGTACAACAGCTTCCCCAACATGCCCATCTCCCAGAAGTCGTGGGCCATCATCGCCACCGCCGCTCTGCTACCCTGCGCATTCCTCAAGAATCTGAAAGCCGTCTCCAAGTTCAGTTTGCTGTGCACAATGGCGCACTTCGTCATCAATGTCCTGGTGATAGCCTACTGCCTATCCAGGGCGAGGGACTGGGCCTGGGACAAGGTCAAGTTTTACATCGATGTCAAGAAATTCCCCATCTCCATTGGGATTATCGTGTTCAGCTACACTTCTCAGATCTTCCTGCCGTCCCTGGAGGGGAACATGCAGAAACCAAGCGAGTTCCACTGCATGATGAAATGGACTCACATCGCTGCCTGCATCCTCAAGGGCCTGTTTGCCCTGGTGGCTTACCTGACCTGGGCCGACGAAACCAAGGAGGTGATTACAGACAACCTTCCGCCGACTATCCGAGCAGTGGTCAACATATTTCTGGTGGCCAAAGCTTTGCTGTCTTACCCGCTGCCGTTTTTCGCCGCCGTGGAGGTGTTGGAGAAAAGCTTCTTCCAGGAAGGAAGCCGCGCCTTCTTTCCGGACTGCTACGGAGGCGATGGACGCCTAAAATCCTGGGGACTGACCCTCCGATGTATACTTGTGGTGTTCACCTTGCTCATGGCGATCTATGTGCCGCACTTCGCCCTGCTCATGGGCCTCACCGGCAGCCTGACAGGCGCCGGGCTCTGCTTTTTGCTCCCAAGCATCTTCCACCTCAAGCTCTTATGGAGAAAGCTTCAATGGCACCAGGTGTTCTTTGACGTCTCCATCTTTGTAATAGGAGGTATATGCAGCATATCCGGTTTCATCCACTCCATGGAGGGGCTCATAGAGGCTTACAAATATAACATAGAAGACTAGAGACGAGCGATCATTGGAAGCACAGATGCATCTCAGTAAATTTGAATATCATCACAAAGTAAATGCATTTTACTAACTCAGTTAACGCGATAAAATATATGTTACATGGAGCGCGATATCTACTTAAAGCCTTTATTTAAGTCATTTTGATGATTTACCTACAGCTAATAAAAATCCAAATTCTGTATTTTTTTGAGAAATTATATATTACAGAAGGCCATAAAAAGGTTTTAAATATAGAAACTAATGTTATACCATACAATGCCCTACAAGGCCATTAGGAGGAATGCAGACTGAGAGCTGTTAGTCAGACATAAGTCAGTGACACCTTCAAGAATTGGCAAGAACAGGAGCTTGTTAGAAGGAATATTCAAGGGTTTCTGTTTAAAACCATTTACATAGAAATTTGAATAGATGGAAAAATTATTAAGAAGAAAGGAATTAATGTTTCCTAAACATTTTTGACTCTCATTTCCTGGACAATTCAGATATGTTGTAGTAGTATAGACTTTGTCAAATTTTAGCTTAGGCAAATAACTGGATTTATGACCCAAAGTTCTCTTTGCAGAAAACAAAAGCTTACATCAGAAATAAGTCTAACTCCATTACTGACTTTTAAAATATTTAAATCTAAATTGCTTGAAGCCTAGTGCTAAGTTTCCACCTCCAGAGGTCTATATCAGAGGGGCCAAATCATCAGCTAGTGTTGGTAGTCCAAAGTCAAACCAGACATCTACCAAGAAAGTTTGGAGTATTTCATGCATTTCTCCTCTAACAACCCTCCGATGCTGATGCAGCTTCCTTCGCCACACTGCTCTGGACACAACCCATAAAGTACACATCCCTACTTTAACGACCATGGCATCTCTGTACTTGGTTCCTCAGCAAACTCTCCTGACCTGAGCCCATTTGGGAATACCGCTATATTAAGATTTTTTTTTCTTTTGAACTGGTCCTATGTATTTTTTTTTCTCAAAAACTAAAATGGGATTTTTATTACCTGTAAGCTTTAATCGTCAAAATCAGCACAATAAATCACTGGAAATAGCTGTATCACACTGCATGTAATGAATGTACACGTTTCACCTTGAAACTGATTTGGTAAAATAAATGAGCTTTTCGATTATATTTTACTCCATGAAGACGCACCTGTAAGCGTGAACTACAAATACCCATTTAGTGAAAAAACATTAAAAAAAAAACACGCACAAACACCAGGCTGCGTGCGCTGCGCTCCTTCCCCCTCTGCTTGATCCATGCGTAAAAGCGCGCAGAAAGCACACACCAACATTTGCGCGCTCTCATCTCTTTATACACACACACACACACACACACACACACCAGTAAATCTAACAGCAAGAAAAAAGAGCAGAAAGCGTCGAACAAAAGGGCACATGCTGTATACTTAACACAGACATATTTTCCAGTGGAGTGAACGTTTACAACACTGACCTTAAGCAAAGTTGCAAAAGGAGAGGGGCAGCCTGCCTTTTTCAACGTCGCTCTTGTGGTGCTTCCCCACATGAGACCTCACATTGCGAAACGATCGAGTTTGGGATTTTTAAAGAATGAAAAGTGAATTTAAAAAAAAGTATGACTGTAGGGACTGAATGCGGTGTTAAAGCCTGAAAAAGTCCCAAAAGGTGACAGAATACAAAAATAAAAATGCACTCTAAAAGAGAATGGAGCTCCAACTTTAAAGGAAGGGCTTCAGTTGTTAACAAGGTTTGAATTATATTTGCCCAATATTAAACTTGGCAATGTTTAAACTAGATAAATTAAGTTAATAAACTGCATTCAATTATTAGTTAACAATTGAATCTATCCAATGGAGGGTTATTCTCTTTTACAGTGTATTTGGAATTAAGGCTGCCTCAAGAAAAAAATGAAGGCTTTTTGTTTGTTTTTTTTTTAAAGGAAAATCTGGATTTTTCAATAAAAGCTAACAGAGTAAAACCATCAAATAGAAAACAGCAGCTGTAAAAACTATGCATTGAATGTATAAAAGGGGAAGTGGACACATGAAGAAAGGTTGAGTGTTCTGGTTCATTTGTATGAACGTGTTGATGCTTTTGCAGGCCTTTTCCCCCGTCACAATCCTCACCGTTTTATGTTTTTGTTTTTTCAGTTTATCAATACGCATTAGTAAAAAAATAAAATAAAATAAAAAGATCCCAGTCCTTTTCCGCTTCTACCCTCTCTTACACCCCCCTCCCCCAGAACCGCTCCATCACGGCCTCGTTTTCTCTCAACATGGCAACACTGAAATGAAACCGCAAACTTAGTTTTAAAAATAACGCATTTAGATCCACACATGGCCTGTTTATTAAAATGGATTTGAAACGCTCCAGTCTTGAAAATGTCGATGTCTAAAAAAAAAAGTAAAAAAAAAAAAATCTGAATTGATGGAAAGTGAGATTATCAAAGAGGAAAATGTGCATACAGACATTTTTCATTCTGTGCAATCCAATGGGGTCCTGTGGAAATGTTATTTAAAAAAAAACGTATGTGTAGTGTGTTATTGTTGTTTCAAAAAGATGGAATGTATATCTCAAAAGTGGTTATCATATATCGTGAAATTACTATTAAAGAATAAAGAAATAAGTGAAATTATATTGTAAAAATGTGTGTGGTTTTATGTAAATGAAAATCGGTCAGAACATGTATTTTTTTTTCCTCTATAATAAAATGCAGAAAATGATCGTGAGAGCAGGAGTCATATTTTTGATGGAAAGGAAAAAATGAGCTCCTTAGGTCACTTTGATTAACTGTAAACTCCTTCATTAGTATCATTGGAGAAACTCAGAGGATGCATGTTTGGCTGGAACAGGTTTTCTGCTGCAGGCAGCATCAGGCCTTCCTATTAATCCACTCTGTTGGTTTCCTCCTGAGGGCAACATCTGGACAAGCTCTTTATTTTATTTCCGGATCACTTCATTTGAAGTGATGAAATCACAGAAGCTGCAAACAAATTTAACCAATAGTTGTGTTCTATTTTGGCGATTTAAGACCCTGATCACATGCAAAGGACGACCTTGAATTAATTCCTAAAGGGTTTCTGTGCACTTAAATGGGTCCAATTGGCCTTTTAAAATACAAAATGAAGTGTTTTTCAAAGGAAAAATAATAGTAAGAATTTGATCAAATATGAACAAAAATGCCATTTAACTCCAAAGACTATCTTCTTATATTAACAAATCTTCTATATAAATGTTATCAATGATAAAAAGAATGTATAAACCTAGAAGATCATTAAATCAATTACATAGTCCTACGTTTCTTTCCATATTGTTTAGGGAGCCACCTAGTGGACAAAAATATTAAACCAATCAAACGAGAATCCGGTGGTGGTTTAGTGACATAAAGGGCCTCCTAAGGGGGACCTCCGGCAAAACAGGGTTAGGGATTGAAAAAAAAAAAAAGATAACTTGCTTCAAACAGAATAATAATAAAAAAAAGAAGAGAGTTTGGACAGAACCAATGTTTGAACATGTTCTTCAATAGGTTCAGCTCAGCATCCTTGTCTCCTGGCCACATTAAAACACATCCTTGTCTTCTTTGACCCAGACCATGGTCTGAACACAAATGCTGTATCTATAATCTCAATCTTGGACTCTTCTGTTTCTACATGTTTGTTCTCAACCAAATCAGAGGATGATTCTGCTCCTTTTGCCTCCTCCTTCTGCCTGCCTGTCTCCAGAATTCAGGAAAAAGCAACTGGAGAAATGAAACCCTTAAAATGCTCCAGGTCCAAATGATGCCAGCCCTAGAGTCCTGAAGGTAGGAACAGAGCAGCTCCGATGGATTCCACAGCATATCTTCTAACTTAGCCTAATGGAGACTCTGGGGCTTGTTTAGGCAAAGGTCTTCCAGTGCTGTGGAAGAAATATCATGAAAGTCCCAACGGACCATCTGACCAGCCACATTAAGCTCCTATTTAAATGGGTTGGAGTTGAAAATGCCATAATACACCTGCTTCAAGAAGCCCACTCTCACTTAAGACATAGAGCCCTGTGAGGATCAGGCTCTTATTTATCTAGTGCATCCAATCATTTAGCCTGATTTACTTTGTCAGGAACTCTTAAGAGATAGAAAGGTCACATATCTATAACCAGCAAGTAAGCAGCATATACTTCCTATTCATTTTTATATTGTACACCAACTTCCAGTAAAAGACAGTCATTTGTAGAAAAAAAATATATACTAAGATGACTCTGCAGTCATTGGCTGAATCAAAAGATGGACCCTCCCTCAACAGGAGCTGGTGAACCACAATGTGGCAAAGTGTGGAAACTATCTAACTTGACAACAGCCAGATGCATGTCCAGCTCCGTCTAGCTAGATTAGAAACTATCAGCATCCACAATAACTTCAAGAGGCGTTTTTGAAGTTACCGTAACTGAATTTTATTAGATGTGAGACTAAGGTTTGTTTTTCTAATCAAATAATCCTATTTTGATTAATCTGATTGCTAAACAAGCTTTATATATTTAGTTTCAATTTGAGAAGTAAAGACCATGTTCAAAATAACCTTTATCTGAAACCTCTACATGTTATGGAAAAGAACAACACCTTTTCCACTGCATCTGTTACTAAAATAAAAAAATATATATCTTTTGGAAAGCTGATGTCTTTACATGAGGCAGAATAACTTTAATTTTCTTCTATTAAAATAATTAATGCAATTATAGTATTTCTCACAAAATGTATAAATAATACATTTGACTAAGTAAATGCTGTAATTTTACTTTTAAGAAAAACAAGAACAACCGTATATATGATCTAAAATTTTTATTAAACTTTATAAAACAGAAAAAAATACAAGACATTAAATCCATGGACAGGCACTGTTATAGTGGTTGCTTGGCGCCCTCTGCTGGACAGTTGTAATTAAAACAGTAATTGAACTCAAATCATCTCAGTGAAAAATCCCATTTGAAAGTCCTGAAAACAAAAAGCAACAAACTCTCACTGTTCACATTGTTTTGACCTCCAAAGTGATTTATCATTTCCCATTTCATGTAAAGGCATTAGCTTTTTAATATTAGGCAAAAGCCTTATAAAAGATCCAATAATTTCAAATTTGAGACACTTTGTTACCCTTTATCTTCTAAAGTTATGATGGCATTATTATTCCAGTAAATATTTCAGTTTTAGTAATTATGGGATTCTTTATAGGCTTTTGTGTAATGCCTTTACATGAATGGGAAACAAACATTCATATATCACCCAGAGGTAAAAACATTGTGTTGAAGAGTGAGAAGTGCCACTGTTGTAGTCCGCTTTGTTCATTGGTTAATCGTCTACAGTAATGACGTAGTTGTCAATTGGCTGTGACTACAGAGCCATTGGAGTTCAGATGGTTCCTCGCACTGTGGACGTGGCAGGCTGCTGGGAGCGCAGTCACTGAC